TGACGATGACGATGACGATGACGATGACGATGACGATGACGATGACGCACACACTCAACATAGCCCCGCACTAGGGAAACTCTGTATCCGCGGGTGCTTTGGACACACAAACACAACCACAAATTACACCCAAGCTCACGAGAGAAATAAAAGTAGGCCATACAAATATTCTCCCGGCCCGGGGATCAAACCTGGGACTTCTGCGTGGTAGTATGGTAACCGTTCGGCCACAGAGGCAATTAATAAGCCCGGTGGAGTGACTATGTAATATAACATGTGAAGATTTGTCTTGCTACGAAATTGTAAAGCAGTTTCCTGATCAGTTGGTAACAAAAAAAAAAAAGCGTCAGTAATACTTTCCGACACAGAAGTGTGCCTAAGTTATTGAATGTCTGTCGACAGAAATTAATTTGAAATGTGAAATAGTTATTTGTTATGCAAGGCTGCAAAATTGTTGTTTGACGCGAGTGCTTGTATTGAAACCTGAGCAAGTGGAGGTTCCTAAGAATCCTGAGCGTAGCGAGGGCTTCAAGACACGAGACGCAATACAACTTTGCAGCTAGTGTCGCTCGACAGAGCGACACTAGTTTTCACTTCACTATAGCGAGGAAAAGGGTAGATGAAAGAAAAACAGTTGAAATATAACAAATCAGTTTTAATAAACAAAATTGGTTATCGTAGTCAATTCAAAGTCAACAATAATAAGGATAAAATATATCAACGGATTTATATTACATAATGTACGATAAACAGTCGAATAAATAACATATATATAGTCGAATAAAATAAGTACGATAAATAGTCGAACGTGACATTATGTTCTTTTTTTTCATCGAAAGAAAAGCTAGGTGCATGACAGTACAAATTTCAAGCTCGAATTACAAAAATATTTTTTACGCCAGAGTGGAAAAAGCGCTTTTGCGCGCAGATTTCTGTTATGAAAGCCTTTCTTAAATATTACTAGAAAAAATAAATTCCTTACAAAATATGTTTTGAATACTTATATATTCTAATCAATTCTAACTATATTCTAATATACATAAATACACTTCACACCATTTCAGTTTTTATTCTAACTTCATTTACACATAACAAGAAAATCGTACTGAAGGACAGTAGCAGCTTTTGGCATTTAGAAATTATATATTTTCACCGACTTAAAAAAAATGAGGAGGTTCTCAATTTGACTGTATTTTTTTGTATTTGACGCGATAACTCTGGCATTTGTGAACCGATTTTGATGATTATTTTTTTTGTTGGAAAGAGGGTACCTCAGTATTGGACCTTTTTAAATTTGAAGAAAATATAATAATGGCTAACTCGAGGAATCATCTGATATCCGACATCATCATGAATCCGGTTCCGCGTACCTTCTGGTAATCGACTTCAATAAAAAGTGGCAAATACAGTTCAATACAACAACGTTTGTATTTATTGCTTTTTATTTAACGGTGACATATTTCTGTAAACACGACACAAAATCAAACGAATTGATCATTTCTGCAAACATAAGGATAAAAAAAGTAAAAATAACATACCCAGTATCGAGTTCTTAGACTTTCGCAATTGGTACAGTCGATACCTGTCGATACTGATACTGGGCGACCTGATCCCCCAGCCGATCTTTTGGTTCTGGGAGCCTTCTCACTCATTCAACAGAAAAGTGTAAAGGACTGCCAACTTTGTGTTTGATATTTGTATTTATGTGATATATCTAAAGATTAAATTGGCTTAAAAAGTTTGTTACAACGTCATTCACTAATGATGTAATAAGGAAGTCATGCCAAAATGAATTTAACGACTCACAGATTAAATGTATGACGATGCTGACCTCCTTCATCATCATTCCACCTTTTTATCACCTTTACTGGTTCCAAGTATTTGTTAAATTTTGAATTGTTCTCGAATTCCTTTTCCTTCCACTATTCTTACGTTGGTTCGTACCGTCATCACTCGCATCAAAATTCTCAAAGCGAGAGAAACGTAGTTTACAGTTTTGAAATCTTTAGATATACGTATATAGGCCCTGTTGGAAAAAGTGTCTGTGTCTTCTTCACACTTATCTGCACAGAACTAAATAGGTAGTCGGTCAAGGGGTTAAGTATCTTAGGGCATTGACTGTACATATTGGAATGTAACCACACCTGACAACCAACTGACACCTGTAAAGTGCCCGAAATGTTGGTTTGTTTGAAAAAATCAAATATACGAGATTTAGATCAGCAAAAATAGTTTCCATTCAAATACAAACATACTATTTGCTCATATTAATAACATATAAAACAATTATTGAAGCATGGTTCAGCGGTGTAAAAATATATTCGTCTTGTAGGACGAACGTTGGTATGACAATCCTCTTAAATTTAGGTTTGTGACGTAAACGCGCAGAATGTTTCAATATAAACGTCAAATTTGGTCCTTACGAATACCGATTCAGTTTAATAGGTAATTGTTTTTTTAATAGAACACAAAACTCAAAATTGCTTGCCGAGGGCTTTGTAACTCCACTGTGGGTTTACACAGCTGGGTCATTTTGGATATAACATATTTGAACAAAGCTTGTTACTTTGTCTGGATTGTATATTTCTGAGATCTCTGCGCAGCAAAGCGACGTATTTGGGTTGATACAAAGACATAATTTTTTCATTTATTTTATGAACAGGTAGCAGAACAGACAGGCTGCCACGGGGACTTGTTGGAAGACGATTTGGCACCGTGTCTGCGCAACAAACCGCTTTCCGAGCTGCTCGCCGTGCGGCTTGAACCCCCGCGGTTCTTACCGGGGTTCGCACCTTTCGTCGATGGCACTGTTATAGTTAATCCGTCCTCCGTACGTGGATATTACGTTATTCTTATGTTTTATTGTATAGTTGTATCCTTTTTGTCCGTTTTATTCTTGAAAAGTCAAGTGAACTGTGAGAAAAGGAAGTGTAATTTTTACATAATTAATTAAATTCATTAACTTCAAGTTTCTTCATACAATAGCTTCCAAAAAAAATAATTTAATAATCAATTTAGGGATATAACCAAAATTATGAATTTAGACTGAAAAATGTACCTGGTTAATGTAATATAGAGGTATACAGCACATTGGAGATACATATACATATGTAACTTAGGTCCACATTGACGACAAAATAAACTGCAAAGTAAGCAAACTCAACACACATACATTATTCAGGCATGTAGAATTGTTGCCTCTATACGGTTATGATGTCATGATCTTCAATGACACTAAAGGTGTACAAAGATTTGCTCGATTTTTTACTTCTATTTACTCTATACTAGAACAGGGACAATCTTTCGTAACAATTTAAGAGGAATTGGTATAAACATTAATGTCAATAATTTTTTTAAAGTTGTATTACTTTAGATACAAAGTTAAATTAGAACGAGCATAAGAATTTATTTGTGTATACATTTAGATATATTAATATATACTAAGTACATTTAGTTTCTTTTGACGCCGAATTGTTTACGCACTGACCTGGATGCTGGATGGCTAGCTAATCATGATAAACACCAACTAGCCTAAAAGCTTGTTACGTAAATCATAGTCATCTAAATTATAATAATGGAAATCAAACGCTCCGTACACATATCCGTGAAATAAAAGTAACCTTATACCTTTAGAGCGCATTTATTCGACTCGAATTTAATCGCGCTCACCCCGCGCGGTCGAACAGCTGAGTCCGCATTGCCGCTGCGCAGCGACCACGCACATCTAACTGTCATGGCAAAATACGCTCTATTGTTTTATCTTTTAGTTTTAACTTAAATGAGCGTTCCGGGCACGCGGGTAAGGCTGGCCTGAATTTGGTCTACGCGGCGGCCCGTGAGACGACCGCGCGGTCGCGAAGCGGAGCCCTCGGCGGCCTGCGCGGTGGCTAGTTTTATTCAGAGGAATTCAAATATCGTTGCCTAGTAAATACCATTCAGATTCGCCATTAATATATATGAACGCTTGATAACTGGGCGGTCGCCGCGCGAAAACTTTCTCCTCGTATAACTGGGCGCTTATACTACTACTGTGTGCATGCTACATCGTCGACCTCATCATCACTTTCCATCAGGTGAGATAAAGGTCAAATGCGCACTTATTTTTTATAAAAAAAACTATAATATTACTAGATTTAGTCCCTCTTTTTGGTTTTGACTGAAAACCAGCGCTTTAGGGAACTTAGGCATATACTAAGGGCTCTTACACATAAATACGGGAGACGTTGCGTAAGCTCTTAGGTCTCTTACACATATTGCATCCTAGCACGACGCGACGTCGTATCGTGTTTATGTGTAAGAGCCCTAAGTCAGCGCCATTTCACTGCTATGGGAAAAATGTTTTATTTTTTTCTGTTATATTCAGTCTGCATTTGTGTCATACTACTGAATAAAGTGTTTACCTGTCTATGTAAAAGAAAAGAGATAAGTACCTAATAAATGATATTTTACGCGATGGTCATGGTCTGACTTATCCCGACGTTTCTTAAATCGCCAACTCCAAATATATGCACTAGATATAATATTTGGCCTAATGCCACAATAATATTCTACGCCGTACATCCTTGTGATTTACCTAATGGCAGTTTCACTACAGCCATATATCAGCAACAGATTCAATTGTTTGATATACTGAAATCCATTACATTAATTAAATAAACAAATTGTTCATGTCGTGATACATAAACCATTTGCATTGCCATAAGGGGCTACCTATATCAAAACAAGGTACTGTGTCCCAATCATCATTTCTGAGAAACAAGCACCTGTAAATTAATGTCTACATAAAATAAAGTGCTCGTTAATGGATAGGTATAAAGTTTAACATCTGGGCCGTATTTTATATTCGCTTGACTGAAGGTCAAAGAGGGGATCAATTATAGTAATTACCAGGCCTATTTATCTTTCTACGTTAAACACAAGGTGAATTAATCTACTGTTTATCTCTTTAGAAAGCAATTGCTTAGTCTTAAAAAACGTTCCAATTTATTCAAGAAATGTAACAATAGACTTACTGCCACAATGATTTACCCAAGCCAATAAGTGGCTCAAATTCATTGTATGAGAAGAACAATGAAAAAACCGAGCAAACATTGTCGATTTGATTATTAATGTTTCTTTACATGTACTTTTCTTTTTAATTAGGCTCCTCCTCCGACGGACAGTTCGCGGTTAGGCGCTGGTGCAGCGGCAGTGGCTGCTGCGGCAGGCCACGAGCTTACCGACTTTCCGCATAGAGATCTTTTGTTTGGCCTCACAACGACCGGTCAGTTTTATTTAGTATGCAATACATTATACTCTCTGATTTGTAAAATTTAAATCTCACATATTTCTCGTTGCTGGCCATTGACTTACAATTATATGGACGTCGGGTCCGCGCTAAAAAGTTTCCGCACTTGTAAGGCGCTAAAATCGTATACAGAGCGCGACACTCCGCTTTAGTCTTCATTTGTTCTACTGACAGCGCGATACTGCGATGACATTACAATTTAAATTTCGAATAGGTTGACTTGGGACATTTTTTTCGTGGTTTTTGTATTAGACCCGTCGTCCATTTATTTGTAAGTCAATGTTGCTGGCATAAAGTTTCCAAGCTGTAACCGACATTGTTGCATTTTAATTTCAAGTAATTTAATATTGAATGTATTTTAAAACGACTATTGTAGACAATTTCATAGTAAAGATATTCCCAATGTTATTGTTACAGCAACAAAATTTGATACGTACCTGTATATAAGGTCTTGTTAGTTTACTAGTATAAATATTAAATAACATCGTATACGTTGCTCTGATCCCAATATATACATAACTAACTAAAGCACTCGTGTTATGGAAATCAGTAACAACGATGGTACCACAAACACCCAAACCCGACAAAAAAAAAACACAAAAGTTAGTTTTTCTACATTTACCCGACCGGGGATCGAACCTGGAACCTCAGAGATGGGGTCATCGTGAAAACAGGTCAGCAAGCCATGAGACCACGGAGATCGTCAACCTTTCTAAACAAAGGGATATTTTGAAGAGGTTATACTCTTTTAACTTTAAGCCTTACGTAACCAGAAAGTCATTGTTACAGAGTCGTATTTGGAGTTTAATGCACAAGATCTAGAGTTTGGTTTCAACGAGAGCCGGCGAGACAGAATTCTGCGTACTTTTGTTCGGAACGCGTACTACTATCATCTGAACGAGATCTATTCCACGCTCAAGAACGAGTACACTGATTGGGACAAGCCCGTACAGAATCCTCTCAGCGTTCGCGACGCTACTCTCGAGGTAACTACAATTTCCGTGCTTATAGCTTATACCTTCCCAGTGATTATTTCAAGAGTGTGTTGGATATTGGCTATTTAACATGTTAAATATGTATATGTCGCACTATTTACCTCTTTATAGTTGACATTAAATAGGTATTAAGGTGACATAAGTTACGCCACTATTATAACTTCACGGATTTAGGAGGAAAATGACTTAATTTTTTAGCAGCAGTAGAGCTAAAGCCTTGTGGAAGAGTTCGTCCAATGAAGTACTTCCACCTTACCAATTTCTGCCGCCAAGCAGTTATGTTAGCATTACTGCGTTGCGGCTTAGAAAGTGAAATTACAGTCACATGGGACTTGTCAACTTATGTCTCAGGGTAACGGGCGCAGTGGCAGTGCCCCTCAGATCTTTGCGATTTAAAGCTCTGAGAGGCCGTGCAACTGTAATGGACAGGCGTGAAGCTTACCATCAGGCGCACGACTTGTTCGTCCCGTCACATGATAATATATAAAAAAATGTAGGAGGAATGCATTGTCTTAGCTATCAGATTGTAATTGTATATTGTATGAAATGTTGTTACTTTGAGTGAACACTGAAGAACTTCGAAAATCCTATCTTCGAAAAATAAATCCTCCGATTTTGTTTGACGGGGGTCTGATGTGCAACAACACATGGTTTCTTAAGAAACGGTTGACTAGACAGTCTTTAGTTGCGACGTGCCGCCATCGGCGTCTCTGGGCTCTTATCGCAGACGATCTTAATTTGAACGTCAAGTGGTATTCGCAACTCACCCTTCGTTCTACGTGGTAGACGGTACAGAGGAACTTAATGGTTCTTGCGTACGCTGAATACAAGATTCCCCGTTAAAAGGCTTTATTGGAAAATACTTGGATGTAGTGAGAAATTAGAACGCTGTCAATGTTATGACAATTAAATTGTTGTTCAAAGTTGTTCATTTACGTTTCATTACACGTTTTCACCGTTAATTGTTCGCGCTGAGAGATATGCTGCCAGTCGCGGTGGCCATAACGTTGTAATTAATAGTCATCGACGATTTCCATCATTAAATTTTGACTTACGAATTAAAAATACGAAATGAGAATTCAGTTTTGTAAAATGTTTGAATGTAAAGTTAAACAATACTCTATAATTTATAACAGGTTTTGAGTGACGGCCGAACAGCAGCGCCGTTGATCAGATTGGGTTACCTACACGCTCTACGAGGCGGCACAACGTACTTCACACATTTTCACCATCTATCTGCGGACAAAGATTATCCTCAGGTAATAATAATACCGTAATTTTTGTGACCATAAGCTTCAATGGAGTCGCTATACTCTGGGAAACTCACAAAATATCATCTACATGTAGTATTTAATCCATTCCTACCATTACCATTTAAAATACGAATGTTTTCAAGTTAAAGTAGATTGGGTAGTGAAGAGTTATTACGGTCGTGTGCAACAGGCCCGAAAACGAAAGGGAGATAACACACAAATGGTACTTAACATGTACATGTGTATATGTATGTGTGTGTGTATATTTACACATATCATGTCTAAATATTTGTGATATACACTATAAAGCGCAGTCGAGCGAGAGCAACGGTATTAGCTACTATTATATTAAATCTATTTAATACTATGCTTTTGTTTTACCAATGTAGCTTTGACAACGTTCCGTACACCTTTCTAGAACATTTTCATTAACAGTCCTAATTTAAGGAATATTCTATTTATTTTGCTCAAAATAGTAAGTTGTGGTTTGATGTTGAGTGATTAATTTTATCAATGTACAACAGAGTCAAATAAAATACTCCCCGTATTTTTATAAAAAGTTTTATTGACATGTGTTGGTTTAATTACTCAAGTGAGGAAAATTGAAACATGTCTTACGGTATTTATTGATATTTTTTATGAAATAACTCCACTAGTTTTGTTATTGTATAACATTGTATAACTCTTACAGTTTTACACATTCCGTAATGCCTATTTCAATGGGATAGGCCGAGGCTTAGCATATCCACTTCCTACTACACTGGTTTTGCTTCCCCTACGAACTTTCATTGTTTCATTTGTTGTTTGACGTCACACATGACACATAATAGCACATGACGTGTTTTTGTTGTAATTACTTAGCAATTATTTATCACTATAAACCGGTTACGCACGGTGGTTTTTTAGCAGAGATACAATCGAAACGCGCGATTGCATCGATGCAGTCGTTTATTTTGAATCGTTAAAAACGTACTTCGCGTTTGCATCGTGAGTGTATCGCCGCTTAAGTTGCGCGTGTGCGTAAAGGTAGGCGATTAGCGACTGCATCGTGACTAAATCGCTGCAGACGCACCGCTAAGAGTCACCGTGTGTAATCGCTCGTAAAGCTATCATGTCAGTTTTGTTTATGTAATACAGCGTCCCGGTTCCGTCCACGGAGAGGAGCTACCGTACTACCTAGGAGTTCCACTATCGACCGCTCATCATCAACTGAATTTCACGCAACAAGAGCAGCGAGTTTCCAAGTTGTGCATACACTACGTTGCCAATTTTGTGCGATACGGGTTAGTTAATTAAATTTACATGAAACAAGTTATTTTGATCAAACATCGGATCGGCAACTCCGCAAACTTTAGACAACTCTTGAAATATTGTTATCTACTTATGAAGTTGTCAAAATTTTACTTACTTGAAGTACTTTGAACAATGTATTTTCATATTGAAATACTAAAACATAATTATTTTTACTATCGTTTCAGCTCAGATAAAATATTTCTAGTACAATAATTAAGTAGCAGAGCTAAAATTTTAACATTACCTTTAGATAAAAGTATAAACTACATAAAAAAAAATTGTGGTTCTTTATAATGTTATACAGAGACAGGAGAACCCGGGAAAAAATTTGCTGTTTTGGGAATGGCCGTTATTAATATGGAAATGCAAAATGCAAAGTAAAATCTGCGTTGCAAAATTATTACTCTATCTTAATTAACACTATAACTTTATTCGTATGGAATTAGGGAACTAACCATCTTGAATCAGGACTGAAGTACGCAGAAAAAATGTTTAATTATTTTTAATTAACATTACGGATCTCTTTTTTATGAATTGATGATAAATATCTATTATAATATTTATTATAATCAATAATAATGTAAATGTTACTCGCTTTGAAGAGTGTTTATGCCAAGTTACAGAATAATAAACCCAAGCAATCCATTTTCTACATAAAGTAACGTTCCTGTTACATCGAAAGATCAAAAGGGCAGATTCTAAATGGAAATAACCTCTATGATCTTTCAAAGTCTCATCAATATCCATTCAGTCTTTTGTTTCAAAGCCTAACATTTAGACAAACAAAAACTTTAAATACAGCTGCTTTGACAACATATTAAGATCATGTTCAGCTAAATGTTTGTATTAATTCTGAAAGCACGTACTCAAAATTTTATAAATAAAATAAAATTAGATAAAATTATTACAAATAAGAAAAATTTCAAACTTTTCTTTGTAGGATTTTTTTAAATGAAATTAAGCATTAAATTATATTAATGATGATATTAAGCATTTCAACATTTTAGTACTCGTAAGGGAGTGACATGATCTGGAACAATATCTTAAAATGTTTGCCTTTTTTTCACGCGTAATCTATAAATAAAGAAGGTATTTTCGTTACTCTGATTAATAACTATCTAAATTCTAATCTACATATGTTGCCAGGCAATGTTCCGCTCTGTAAAGGAACCCACAATTTAACGTTATATAAAGGAAAGTAAGTTAAACACGAAATAGATTGAGGAGTGTATTGAAGTGTTAAATTGGAGTAATTTGTTTGACATAAATAGCAACCCAAACGATCCTTCGGCGACGCCGCCACCTAGCCCGCTGCTCGGCGACGCTCCGCGTCTTGGCCCTGACCAGACACCTTACTGGGACACCTATGACACCATCAATCAACTATACATGGAAATCAGTGCGTAAATACAATTAATTTCAAATAACCCACGAACAATACTTTTCAGTTTAATTACTAAAATATCACGGACTACAAAACTACTACGTAGGGGGTCATTTAAACTTTTGGGTCGTAATACCTTTGCGTATCCGTTTGGCTCATTTATTTCAATTTGATACCGTTTGGGGCGCAGGTAGCAAGCCGGAGATGCGCAGTCACTACCGTGGTCACAAGATGTCGCTGTGGCTGTCGCTCATCCCGCAGCTGCACCGACCAGGTGCCGACTTGCCTGACCCCGCTATGCGCCATCATCACTTCCAAGACGATAATGCAAATTACTACGAGGGTACTTTTTAAAAGATGTTATCTTACGCCACACCTTACTATGTTCGCTGTTAAGAGCAAATAAAATAATGTTACAATTTTTATATTGTCAGGTGCCGTAAGACCTCAAACGATGACGAGACTGCATGTACCACATGTCGTAAATGTGGACGTGGGTAGTCGCGGTGGAGATTCATCTCATAGCACTGTTCCGCCACGTACCGCAGCACCACGACCATCCCCTGCACCACCTGTGACGTCCACTGAATGCCCGCCTAATACAACATCCACTCCAATTCAAGCTGATGATGCTCTTCTCCGACGTCTTGCATCTTCTCACTATCAGTCATACACTGCGGCACTCACAGTTACTATAGCAGTTGGATGTTTTTTGCTACTTTTGAATGTACTCATATTTGCAGGAATTTACCATCAAAGGGGCTCCCGACCTCGACGCTCAAAAGACGATTTAGCGGAGGCCGGGAGCTCCTCTTCTTCCGATAATTACGACGGTAAATTGGACTACGAAGTGCGGGCGTTTGATGGAAAAGGTTTTGGTTTCGATTGTAAATCGGCACACGTGTCTCGCGGTTCCGGTTCTAAATTCGATTTGCGGACGTTATCCGATTGTGGTGAGCCTACATTTGGTGAATACAGTTGTTATGATGAAAAACACAGAGCAGCACGTAGCTCCTTGCCAGACGTAAGTGTTGGTAGTGCAATTGAGGCGGGAAGTGTTGTGTGTATCGATACGCAAAAACCGGATATTCAAAAGGTTGACGGCCGGCAGCCAGATTCAATAGGACGAACTAGTAGTTTTGAACCGAGAGTTGTGGACTGTTCGACGCAAGTCAAGTTTGGCCCAGTGTCTGATACAGTAGAGGTGGCGTCCGATTCAAACGGAGATTCGGAGTCGGGCGGCGCGAGCGGTTCGGGTGTGATGCGAGTGCCGCCCGCCGCCAATACGCCCGCGCCGCCCGGCATCATGAAGAAGAGAGTACAAATACAAGAGATATCAGTATGAGGATTTCTAGACTCCGCCGCCGAAATAGTTGTGAACAAAAGGACAAAGTTGTGATTCTTAAATTGTAATATGTATATAAAATGTTTAATAAAGCATATGAGTTTATGTCTATACATATAAAGTAAATTAAGATTTGCCGCGTGTTTACTACTCTGAACTTACTTTGCGTGTAAATATGTAAGTAAATTATGTGTTACTCGCTCTACTGCCAGAAGTGTAGCTAATATGTTGATATACCGTTGGCCAATAGTTATTAAAGCGTACTGTCGTATAACTCTCTCCTTCATGTAATATTATATGAAGGAATTGTAGGTTCTTGTGAACATATGCGTATGAAATAAATGTGAATATAACAATAAATTAGTGACAAGGCAACACAGTTTCATACTAGCTGTACATAATATCAAACGAAGTGTTTCAGGTAACGTAGGCTAAAACTATTTACATAAAACGTGGTGTACGAGTATGTTGTTATTTTTTGTAAAGTATACTTTTAAGTGAGTTTATTAATTTGAAGTAGTTTTTGATAATTAAGTATTTAAAACTATACTAAATGGACGAGTACTGATGTATAAACATCTAAAATTGTTAGTATTTTGATCTTAGCATTTTGATCATAGTAACTTGAAGTCTGTAATTCCTCAGTTTTTTCCATTTCCATATAAAATTGAAACAGATTAAAAATATCTTCTAACTTAGAAGGAAATCAGGGTAATTATGCTTAAACCGCAAATCCTTTCTATTACTAAATCAATTCATTAAAATGACAACCATATCCTAGCTTTTGGCTGCATACGTATTACAATAACAAATATTGAATATTGATGGTATTGCTACTGATTTTGTTGAACGGTATTTTACCATGAAAAGGTAAATTGCGCCATTGATAATTATGCCTGTGGGATCGCTCTAGCAGGCAGGTCATGGAATATGTATACAATGCAACAGGTGTTTTAGAAGCGCCTCCACTTTATGTTACTACGATACTAAATGGTACTCTCAATTTCCATAATTACTGCAAGTGCTCGTCCATATTTTTATCTTCGCAGGAATTGATGACGATTATGTAACAATGAGTGATTAAATACTTATAATTACGTCATTATCCATTTTGTGACAAAATGTGAACCAATAATTGATAAATCTTTTTTTATGAAAATATTCAAAACAAGAAATATAGGATACCTATAAAATACACAATGTAATTGTGGAATTGACGTAACTTTTAAATTGCATTTCGAACATAACGTTAATAACGTAATGAATAACGTGTAAAGTACTTGCTACCAATTTATCGGAATAAATAAGTCTTTGTACTCTGAATGGTGTAAGAATAAAGAAAAGTACCGATATAATACTCCTAGAAAATTATTTATACAGAATTGTTTCCAATATAATAGTGATTTGAAAATTATCTTCCTTGCAGGAATTGCAAAGTAGCGCTTTGTATAATTGTACAACTTAATTTGTTATTGTTAATGAAGTAGAAAATTATTTATTAATATTATATAACACTGAGTTGAGTTTATTATCTAACTTTGTTAATGTGACAAAAGGTATAATATGATTTATAGACTGTTAGTAATTTGTGCTCAACATCAACATTTTGTTACAATTTGGTGTTTCTATGGAGTGCATAAACATGTGTCGAATAAATATTTGAAATTACTAATGGTTTTTTCATGATTCTAAGGGTTGTCATTTGTTTCGTCATAGAAACAATCAATCTAATAAACATGCCATTAGGTTATTGCTTGAAGCATTATTTTTTTTTTTTTTTATTGTATCTGTAATGAGAGGTCCCGTATAAAATATCTTCAGAAGAAAATTCTTGTCTTATTTTTCTTTCGGGATTTTTTTATCGAATTACAAATGTCCTTCTCAAAAATGACCTGCCTAAAATATGCAAATAGCACTTCACCCTTTTAAGATAAATGATCGAAGTATATTCAAGCAAATGGAATAAGTAAATCATGTTTAAAATTAAGGAAATCTTTTTGGTGTCTAAGCTTTTGAAATGTGAGTGTTTTGATCCTTTGTATTACCTTGCATGTAGAAAGTCGCTTCTGGGATTAGTTTCGTTAGCTCATTTTATCTAAAAGTCTCGACGTACAAAATCAACGTCTTTACTCGGAGCTTAAATCACGAACCCTCGTTTTATGACGTAGGTAAGTAAATTCTCGAGGATTAATAAATTTATTGAACCATGGAAATGTTTAAGAAGCGAGAAAATTCGCCGCAAAATCCTATTAGCTTTAAAAGTAAAATGATGTTGTGCATGCCACACGCACGTTACGGCTTTGATAACTTATGTATGTAGTCTTCAGTTTTTTTTTCCGTTATGTAGATTCTGGAAAGTTGGTGGTATTGTACATTAACAAAACAAAGAGAAAATTGCTACTGGTGCGATTGACAGTGCAACTGCACGAGCAAGAGTTCGAAGTTAGTATTGTGTCAGAGTCAATTAGGAAGTTAAGTGAACATGTGTACTTGAACTTAGTTTATTTTCTGCTAAGTTTGATCAGTGTTCTGAATGCCTGTGGAGAAGGAATTTTAAAAAGTTGTTTGCTTTAATGTTCAAATGAAACTGTCGATAGATTGTATACGATTACATAGTAAAGGTGAGTGAATGAATTCGTCTAGTTAGTTTGCGACCAAGCCACGGGGGCTGAGGTAGTAGTATCACAGCGGAATCAGTGACTAAAGCCTCGCCGATACACGGTCGAGTGATTAATCGAACTACGGAACAGACTAAATTCGATTCGGCGATTGAAAGGGACGCTTTACCCCCTTTGAACAGTGAAATTTGTGGTAATTTATGACTTTTCACAGCAAATTTTCACTTTACCCCTCGTACAATGGCTATGCACTTGTAGATTTGAACAAAGAATTGAGAACATAATTATATTTTAATGAACTATAACAATTAAAAGGTTTGAAAGTAAACTTTTGTAACAAATTATAATCTTATGAGGTAGGTGTTCAATATCTTACCGCACTTTACAAAACAGTTAATGTAACCAGTAGCAAAGTTACGCCGGTGTCGGCAGATTAGGTGCATATGTAAGCTTGTTGTGTTAACTATATTGGAAAAGTTTAACAAAGAATAGAAGATTACTAAACTTCCAGACAGCGCTGAGACGATTCAAAGTCACCTTCTAACTCTATAAACAAACTTGTATATGGAGACTATGTTTGTAGAAGAGCTTGTACGAACTTAACATAGATAAAGTTACAAAGCAAATGTTATTGTTTTCTTTATAAATTACGACAATTAAAGTAGTGACTTATCTAAGTAATGTTACAATTCAAACGCGTTTGTGTGAATCTCAGTGACGAATTTCGTGATGGTCGCCCGTCCACTGCTGTGAACAACAAAAACATTGATGCTGTACGCCATATGATCAGGCATGTGAGATATCATGAGATTCGGGCATCTTTAGGCATAGGCATAAGTCAAATACAATCAGTACTACGCAAATATTTGAGTGTGAAAAAGCTGTGCTCTCGTTGGATCCCACACAATTTGACTAAGGCTCAAAAAACGGATTGCGTGACATGGTGCAATGCGATGCTTACCAGATTTAACAAAGGGGCGTCAAATTTGGTGTGGGACATAGTAGCAAGTGACGAAATATGAACTTATAGTTACGGTCCCAAAACAAAACAGCAATCGAGCGTATGGGTCTTTCGAGATGAGCCGTAACCAACCAAAGTGGCGCGCGTGCAAAGTGCTCCGAAGCGAATGATTGCTTCTTTTTTTAATAAAACTGGACACGTGGCTTCTGTTGCTTTGAAGAATCGTTTTACTGTGAATAGTGATTGGTACACGACCATTTGTTTGCCGGAAGTCACTGAAAAACTCCGTAAAAATAACCGTAAACGTCGTATCATCTTGCACCACTATAATGCCAGTTCTCACACGGCCAGACAGACAAATGAATTTTTGAAGATGAACAACGTTGTTCTTCAAAAATCCCGCGTACAGTCCTGACCTGGCACCTTGTAACTTTTATTTATTTCCATAAATTAAGTACCAGTTACGCTTTTCATCACCTGAAGAGGTTGTCGAAGAGTATGAAAAATATGTTTCTAAGATTGTCACGGAGGAGTGGCTTAAATGTTTTCAAAATTGGTTCATTCGTATGAAAAAGTGCATTAACGCTAACGGACAATATTTTGAGAAACAATAAGTTCGAAACTTATAGTGCGCCACAAAGTAGAACAAAAAGAAGTGCGTGGATTACAGTTTGGTTTGATGGAGAGTAATGTCTATTATTTAGTACAGAGCGCAACCTTGTACATCATTCGCAAATGGATTCTTTATAAATACAAAAAAAAATACAAAAAGCGTTATAATTATACTGTCTGGTTTATTACTATTCTGCTTCTTTTACACTATTTCTCTGTAAAACACTCTAGGTACTTAATACTTATTTTATCATGAAAACATACCATAGCTTATTGCTGTTAGAATTTAAACAGGAGAGAGTATTTGTGTTTCTAAGATTTATTTTTTTTCCTTTATTTAATAGAGGGTCTATTCGTAATACAATATGCCACTCCCATTGGAACATTGCACCACTTAAACACACTACATACAAATCAACACATACATTTTTTGATAATTATCTACATTTTAGCCAGTATGACAACATACTTACATACCCACACTTAGTATTGGCAAGTTGAATCGATGCCCGGCTGAAACCTCTCTGCCTCGCTCTGACACACTCCACGAGGACGTGGTATACGTCCTCCCTCTTGTTACAAATAGAGCAGTTGGGAGACGTTTTTTTACCCATCAGGTGGGAGAAATTGTTTAATGGGATATGGCCCGAGCGAAGCCGGAAAGCTGTTACGATTTCATACGAGTGCTCATGTCTGTTGCATCAATCCAAAGGTAGTTGGAGAGGCCAGGCAGCATTGTTTCATACCGCACACCCTTTGTAACAGATCTCTCGTCGAAGTTTTTCTTCCAAAGTTCCACAAACTCTTTTTAGACAGATGAAATAGATCCGAAAAACACGATGAACACCCATTAAAAAGGTTAAAACATCTACTTTTTCGTTATATTCCACCCAACATGGAGATCCATTGCAGAACGACTAATATATTAGCGCGTGTTAATTTGTTGATGAAGTCCAATACAGCGTAGACTTTCGGTGTTCCTCGAAAACTCGAGGTATACCGAGTCAAGTATTGAAGTGAGCTTCTTGAATTCGTTAGGATAAAGAAGCCATTATAGTTGATAGTATGGATGTATGATAGTGCCTCGGAAATTACTGTTAACCCTGCATACATAATAGACATGTTTGGATTGGTCTTTAATCTACAATGAGTGTTTGTTTGTGGATCCAAGAACGCTGCACCGACGTTACTTCCAGTTATAGATCCATCAGTAAGTATCTTATAAGATTTATGATATTCTACTTGTACAAACTTCATAGATAGTTGGGCAAAATGAAAATTGGTATAAGTTTTCTT